CAATGGAATACTACAGTATTAATATTATATATATATATATATATATAATTTTTATAATATAATTATAATATAATTTTGGTGGTGGTGGTGGTCAGCAGTCAGGTAACTCATTTCAGAATAGGTCCAGGGACATATAAAGCTGGCACTGACTATTATTATTATTATTATTATTATTATTATTACTATTTATTAATAAAACGAGAATACAAATATTTTTTATAAAAAATAAAATAAAAATTTGGTTTTGCTTTGGCAGATAACTAAAATAAGGTAAAGTTAAACCATTTTTGAAAGACATTCGTCCATTCATTTTCTTTTCGGCTTAATCCCTTTATTAATCTGGGGTTGCCACAGCGGAACGAACCGCCAACTAATCCAGCACATGTTTTACACAGCGGATGCCCTTCCAACTGCAACCCATTACTGGGAAACACCCATACACACTCATTCACACACATACACTACAATTTAGCTTACCCAATTCACCTATATCATATGTCTTTGGACTTGTGGGGGTAACTGGGTCTGGATGCAGACCTGGTACAGTGCAATCTGAGATGCATCCAATGCTTTTTAATGCGCTCACCCAATACCTGTCACAGTGATGTCACTCCATTGAGTGCATTGTGTCTGACATTGCATCACTGAGTGATGCAATCTCAGCTTGCATCATAAAGGCTGCATCCAGATACTATTGGAAACTGGAGCATCTGGAGCAAAACCACGCGAACACAGGGAGAACATGCAAACTCCACACAGAAATGCCAACTGACCACGACTTGAACCAGCGACCTTCTTGCAGTGAGGTGATTGTGCTACCTACTGCACCACCATGCTGCCCTTTTAAAAGACAATTACAAACTATTTTAAAATAAAGTGAATAATCAAAACTAAAATTGTACAAAATGCAATGAAGTTGTGGGCACCCTTTATCAATGTGTATAAGAGTGTAATGAGATCCGAAAATTTTGGAAAGAGATTCTTATCATGATTGGAAAATTATTTGAAGAAAATGTACATTTAGTTCCCAAATTATGTTTATTTCATATACACTAAACCTGGATCTGAACACAAGCAAACGCAACTTGTCCATTTTAATTTGCTCTAAGCGAAGCGTGTTATTGCTTTTAATTGGAAAAAAACTCAAAGGCCATCCTGTGTCCAGTGAATTAAAGAAATGACTAGCAATCCCTCTCTGGAGAAGCTGACATACACTATTGAAGGAAAATTACAAGATTTTTATAAAATATGGATCCCCTTTCAACACTTTTTTGAAACAAGTGGATCAGGCATTTTTGATGTTTGAGCTTTTAAACCCTTGTTGGTGTCTTTTTGTGTTGTTCAGATGTCCTACATTTCAACAACAATTAACACGTTTGTTTAACAGGTAACACTGGAAAGCTGTGAAATACAAGATACAAAAATGCACTGAAGATTGTTATTATAATTTTTTTATTATGTTATTTTTTATGATCATAAATTACATTAGTTTTTATTGTGTTATTATTACTGTTATTATGACAACGCAGTGATGCAGTAGGTAGTGCTGTTGCCTCACAGCAATAAGGTCGCTGGTTTGAGCCTCAGCTGAGTCAGTTGGCTTTTCTCTGTGGAGTTTACATGTTCTCTCTGTGTTCACATGGGTTTCCTTCGGGTGCTCCAGTTTCCCCCACATTCCAAAGACTTGCGGTACAGGTGAATTTGTGTAGGCTAAATTGTCCGTAGTGAATGAGTGTGTATGGATGTTTCCCATTTGTGTTGCAGCTGGAAGGGTGTGAAACATCTGCTAGATAAGTTGGCAGTTCATTCCGCTGTGGTGACCCCAGATTCGTGGGGGGACTAAGCCGAGAAGAAAATGAATGAATGAATATTACTGTTATTGTTAGAATTTATATAATTTATTTACATATTTATTTATTGTCTATTCACTTTTTTGTCTTTATTCATTTTATTTATTTAATTTTTTATGCTTTTTGTTCTGTAGTTAAAACAAAACCCAATAAATATATTTTGGGGGGGAAATGACAAAAGCACTTAACAAAAACAAATAAAATTAAAAAGTAAAATATGGCATCATGGTGCTCACAGCGATTCGAGTTTGATTCCCAACTTAAAGTCCTTTGCCGACCCTTTCCCTCTCTCTGCTCCAAATACTTTTCTGTCTGTAACCTCCACTGTCCTATCCAAATTAAAGGTAAAAAAAAAACTAAAAGAAAAAAATGTACAATACATTATTACTACATTATTATTCAAATATTATTAATATATTTAATATTTATAATATTAACTATTTTTTGTTTGATTTGTTTTATGCAGATTTTTGATATATAATAAACAATTACTAAATGCAATCTAAGTAGTATTAAAAAATTATATATATTTCTATGTTTAATTTTTAGAATCTGATTAAACAATGCAGTAATAAGTAATTTAATCATTTCCTACACTGTATATTTATTTTTTTATATAAATTTATATGAATAATTGCAATATTATATACAGTAAAATATCAAAGGTATTGTTGGTTTGAACTTGACCGAGATCTTGTGCTCATGGTGTTCATAATTAGATTAAACACTGATTAAACATTTTGCCTGCCTTTTCGCTTAAGCAATTATACATATGAAAACCAATATACACCACAGTAATTAGTTGAAATAAACTTCTGAGAATTAATATTTTTTATTTAAAAAAATTACTTAAACATTAAGTGACGCATTTTAAAAATAAATTGGGAAAGACATTTGAAAGTGATTCTGGTCATTTAAAATACTTCCAAATATTCAAATGATATATTTTGTCCTTTTGAGGCGCTGTGTGTTTGATCATAAATTAGTCATACAGTACTCTGTGGTCTGCTTTATATTTATTTATATCAATGATTAGCTAATAACCTTTTTAATTATTTATTCATTGTAACGTTAAAACCTTTTTAAGTAGTACATTTAAAGATAACTAAGAAATTATCATTACGCATTAATGAAAAATATTACTGTACTTAGATTAACCATGCATACTATCCATATGGCACTAAGGAATGCATAAAAAGTAATGGTACAATATATAATTTAAACGAATGGTATCCATTCATTTAATCTGAAATGGGGGCTTAGACAAAATATTTTTATGTTACAGCATCTGAGATTTTAACACAATGTATTTTAAAGATGCTGAAAAAAATGTATTTTACTAGTTGTGGCCAGCAGGCGATGCCCGTGAGAAACTTTCAATTCATTTAGGGAAAACATACATTCTGCATCTCCTTCTATTCTATTCTATTCTATTCTATTCTATTCTATTCTATTCTATTCTATTCTATTCTATTCTACTATTAAGCATAATTATATTGTTGAAAATAATATTTATGTAACATGTCTGCTGATCCAAAACATGCAATAGTTTAATGACATTTTTTTTTCAACAAAAAAATGTAAGTTTTAAAGTTGCTTTTTATATACTAGTGCTGCCTTTGTTCTATGTACAGGGGTTGGACAATGAAACTGAAATGCCTGGTTTTAGATCACAATAATTAGATAATATTTTGTAGAGCCTCCTTTTTGCAGCCAATTCATTATCAATTTGTCTTGGGAATAATAGATACAAGTCCTGCACAGTGGCCAGAGGGAGTTTGAGCCATTCTTCTTGCAACATAGTGGCCAGGTCACTATGTGATGCTGTTGAAGGAAAATGCTTCCTGACTCACTCCTCCAAAACATCCCAAAGTGGCTCAATAATATTTAGATCTGGTGAGTGCGCAGGCCATGGGAAATGTTCAACTTCATTTTCATGTTCATCAAACTAAAGTGGTTTGGTCATATTAAGATAGCGATTCTTGACATCATTCTTGACATAACTTTTTTAAAGATTTTAAGAATTTCAAGAAATTTACAACACTTTCCCGTGTTTATACACAGATGGCCAAAAATAAGAAACTTATTATCATTTACTCACCCTCAAGTTGTTCCAAACCTGGTATGGGTTTCTGTAGTAGTTATAAATACTTTAAATTTTTTTAAATGTTCTTAAGATTTGTAATTCAATATATTGCAATAGAAAATGTAATCTTATGTTTCTGTAAAATGTATCAATATATCATTTAATGCCAGAGGTTTAATATTAAATGGCCTTAAGTTGAGAAAAAGTTAATTAAATGTTTTAGAGATCTTTTTACTGTGTTTATTTCTGGGTTCTACCATTTTGACTTTTTTAATTTTTCTAGTTTTAAAATATTTTTATTATCAGAAATTTTAGAAGACATTCACCTCTGATTACATTTTTTTAAAGATACAAACATAAAACCTTAATTTTTACAATTAGACATTGAAAAAAAAGAGAGAATAAAAAACAACAGTCATGAAAAATATAATTCCTCCAACCAACCACCCACCAGTGCTATCCAGTAATAAAAGTAGATACTAAAGGCATAGAAAAACATTCATCACAAGTTTGTTGAGAGTAAATAAAAGGTGACCCAATTTTTTCAAATAACCAAATGTCATCTATTAGGGTATACCAGTTTTTTTTCCAGATGTAATGTACCCGTTAACTCTGTCAGTCATAATTTAAGAGTTGGAACTTGTATTTTCTTCCAAAACAAAAGGATACATTTCTTTTGGCAGAGATCAACTCATATGAAACAATCTGTTGTTGAACCCGTGTAAGTATCAAAAATTCTTCAGAAACTCTAAATATAATTAATAGAATCTGGACTTTTTACATTGTCATGCAAAAAAATTAGCAAATCGTAAAAACTATTTTTTAAGTTAGTTTTGACTACATCAGTACCAAAATTCCTAATAAATGTAAACTAACAGTCAGAAAGGTTCTGTCACAAACCTTTAATCACTTCTGAGAGATTTCTTCTGTCCTCCCAGCGGCAGTTGTTTTGAACTGCAATCAAATGCGCGTTCACTGAGTGCAAGCGCTACGTCATTGCCTAAAGTGTCATAGAGTGGGCGGGGCATCTCGATCGGGGATGAGCTTTAAACATGAGAGCATAACCAGGGGGTTGTGTTCTCTATCATAACAGCCCATTTCAACCTCAAAAAGCGCTTCCAGCCGCGGGGGTGTATGAGGAACACCAGAGTAAAGCGTTTTACCTCGATCAGGTAGCGAAGGAGGTGAAAGTAGGAGTGGAAGAGGGGGGCTGTGGTTGGATTTAGTGAAAGAAAACAATATGGCCGCGGTGGAGCTGGAATGGATCCCTGAGACCCTTTACAACACTGCTATTTCAGCCGTGGTCGACAACTACGACCAGTCGCGACGGGACATCCGATCTCTCCCCGAAAATATACAGTTTGATGTGTACTACAAGGTAAGAAGCACGATGATGGAGTTCAGGGCGGAACAGCCGTCAAAATCATCTGACACTTTTTTACTAGCAGTTAGGCTAACAAAAACTGAATCAACCTCTCAGTGGAGCACTGGTTAGGAGAAATTCGAGCTACGAGACCATTTAACCTGGTTAAATCCTGGTTTACGAGTACATTCATATTTCTGTGTGGCAGTTAGACTGTTAAAACCTAAGTGCCCACTGTTTAGTTATCCTAGCTTGTAGCTTATCTACTACTGTATGAGATACAGCTCTCTGGGTCAACACTAGTTAACCATACAGTACCATGACATTTCACTTTTTACCCTTTTAACCTATTTATGATTACTAGGTCAGTGTAATATTATGGGACGTTTAACCAAACCCGTGTTTTGAACGAATTTGGCGAGTGTCATCTGTAAAAACGGTTTGTTACCAACTGCTGTGAATACAATAAATGACCACTGTAACGTTACAGTAAGATAAAAACAGCAATGCAGGCATGGTAACACTATAACAAAGTTCCGTTTGTTTACACAACCCTAAATCTTTTCATCTTAATTAATGGAATTGTAAACATTTGACCCTCTAATACATTCCTTAAATTCAAAATATAAGTAACTAATAATACCTGAATACATTAACTTGTTATTAATACTTCACAGTTGCATTTGTATTTAACATTGTTGCTCATGGTTAGTGTGTATGGATAGATAGCACAGATGATGTATTTTTATCTCCGTATATTAATTTTTGTTAAATCATTTTACCGCTTTGGAATTACAATCGTCTATCTGCATAATGGGTGTTTTTAAGATATGTAAAGTTCCTGTGACTTCCTTATGGTGAAACCCATAGGAGAAACACTTTTCTAGATCTAAGCTCTTAAAATGTACACGAACACACCAAGTATGTGAATACATTTTCCCAGAATGAGAATATGTGAATGACTCATTTTTGACAAATATCAGTTTAAACCTTAATTCGAAAGTTGCAAAATGTTTTAAATATTCAAATATTACACTGTATTTGTGTTTTAGGGTTGTCACAAAACCATTAATTAATCTTACGATACTATACCAGCTGAAGTATCACAATAGCAGGCAATTTTGCGATACTGTAATTCATAACTCAAATTATAAAGAAAATGGTTAGAAATACTATATTTAATGGTTTAATAAGCCTACTTAAGGCCATAATTCATTATTCCCTTAAGGTCGAAAAGTATTCTTTGCACCCCACTTCACTAAAATCTTTTCATTCCTTTTGTTTATTTTGTAGATAACTGACCAACAAAAATACATTAAAACAAAGATACAAATTATACAGAGTGAAATTTGTTACAAAAGATCATTTTTCAATCAAAATTAGGCCATATGAAGTGGTCAAAAATTGTTTCAATGTCTCCTGTTGCTATTTTAGATTTTTCATCTATTCTTTTTATCAGTCTTATCAGGTAACAATCCAAAGTAATTCTAAATTTCACTTTGTGAGTTGTTCTTTTAAAGAGATTGTCGTGGTTGTTGTAGCTATTAAATCGTATTAACAGGAACAGAAATGAGCCGATTCAGATGTGCGTTTGAACTGAAGTGTTAGAAAACCTGCAATAGGCTACCAAAAAAGGCATGAATTATACACAGTTTTGCAACCTTAAAGGGCTCCACACACTATTCAAATAAAATGGTTTACTGTTGGACACAAACTTGAGCATTTTGGTGACTTTTCCCACATGCTACATTATCTATTGTAGATAGACAGTTAATGACAATACTACCGTTTACAAACTCTATTGGCACTTCCAGTAATTTAGGACCAAAGTATATCAATACCAACCATAGTACCGGTAAGCGGTGCAACCCTAGTGTGTTTTATTTCTACTTTGTAAAACCTGTTTGACTTTCCCTCTTATCGTTTTTTTTTCATTTAGGCCTGTCACGATATCTATTTTTTGTTGTGCGATTTATTTCACCAAAATGTATTGCGATAAACAATATTATTGTCATTTTAAGACTGCTCATTATATAATGCTTGAATGACAAGATAATATCATCATATTGCATGTGCACTCTTCCCAAGAGCACATCATATTTTATTCTCAAGAAGATTTAATTTAATTAGTCATTTTAACAGTTTAATAGTTGGAATCAGACTGTGAAAATGCATATCCTAAACAAATACATAATAATAAAAAATGTTTTCAAAAAAATCTGCTACCAGATCTATGTTCAGTTGTCAGACACCTACATGAAAATATACTATAGTAATTTATAGTAAATAACTACTATAATATAGTGTTATAATTTACTACATTTACTTTATAGAGTGTTTTTAACCATACTGTCACCTCCAATAGAGATGTTGCATAATCAGCTAAAGTGTAGCTAGAATTGGTTTTTATGTATGGGTGATATATATTGCATTGCCAAAAATGATTAAGGTCATGTCCATGTGTTGTGCAATAAGTCGATATATTGATTATTGTGACAGGCCTAATTTCATTCACCTTTTTTAGATGCTTCATTCTGACTGGACCGATTCTACTGTTTTGTATACAGTAACCATCAGAGTTTGTTGTCCAGAGATGACAACTCGCTGAGCATTTGCAGTAGTGTTCTGTGTTATGAAACTCCATTTGAGAGAGAGGACTCAAAGTACACTTCACAAATCAAGTTTAACTGGAACCCAAGAAACCTGGAAAGAAAGTCAATTGTTCTTTCTCTAGGTCGTTTAGAGACTTTTGAGCTGTTATTTACTTTTAAGAAAAGTCAGATCAGCTTATATGTTAGTGGACCTCAACCTTAGAAAACCTAAGACTAGAAATTATATAAAATAAAGTTCTTTGTTTTATTGTCTAGCGTTTTTTTTTTTTTTCAAGAGTGAAAAAATGAATTAAATCTAATAAGGCAGTGGATGAATTTCTAATTTTCTGTTTGTTCATTTAAGCTGTAAAATATGATATTTTGAATAAATGATAGGTAAACCTAATAATATCTTTTATCATACCAACAACACTGGAAAAACACTCAAAAGAACTTCTGAAGTCAAGAACTTCTAAAATCACTGACTTAGGATGGTTGTAGTTATTAGTTTGAGATTTGTGCCTGCATGGGTTAAATTTCTGTGAAATTCTACCCATTTAATCATAGTATAGTCGTCAGGCCGTTTTGTATGAAGGTAATTCAGTTGCGTAACTCGAGAGCTTGCAAATGTAAATGTGAGCACTTGTGATAATAATATTTGTATGTGTAGGTTGAAATGTACACTTACAGCTCTGATGTGAACAGCTGAAATCCTCGATTTGCACACACACACAACAATCCACACACTTGTGTTTTAAATTGGAAGTTGCAGATTAATAGTTGTGTATTTGTAAAATGTCATTTACAAATACAAAATGACAGACACACGTGTGCACGGCAAATTTGACTGCATCTTCGCTCTACAACCACAGGTCGGCACTCACAACCTCTCAGTTTTGTCAGTACAACTACAAATCTCCCGCGCTCTGACTTTTGCTACACATCTCCCGCGATCTCTGTAGCAGAACCCATCTGTGCACTTGCAAATGCAGAGGCGTGAGCAGCGCGGGGCGGGGGAGGGGCGGGGCAGGTGTAAAGCTGTTTGATTGGCTGATGCCTGACCAATGAACAATGCCAGCAGCCAACAGGACTGAGGTGCAAAATAATCATTTCCCACGATTATTTTATTATTTAGGGTTTATTTCAACTCTTTTCTGAAGAGATTCTTGTTAAAAATCATTAATTTTGCGGAAATGTACATACCAGTAAAAGAGCAGCAAAGCCAGTTTATTGGCTAGAGCCAGCCAATGAGATGGGGCGTTTCTGTTTGTCAGCACACAGGGCAGCTCACGTTGTTGGAGGCCTCGAGCAATCAGAGGGTAAGTTATGATTTTTAATAATTATCTATATGTTCAATACTGTTAGCTAAGCTAAGGACTGTGCTAGGTGCTTCTCTAGTTTGTTTTTTTTTATATAAGAAACAGTTATGAGTTATATATATATATACTTCAATTTATTAAAGTTGATGCTAGTTAATATTACAGTGTGCTGTTGCATTCATTAACAAAGTTGTAGATACTGCAGTATATACAGTATAATACAGTTTACTATAGTTAGTATGGTTCAAAAACGTAATATTATTTGCTATAAATACTATTACAACTTATTTCATGTGGGTTGAATCGTATCTTTAGAACAATATAACATGATAGAAAGCAACTCCTACATAACTCATAACTGTTTCTTATATAAAAAAAAAACAAACTAGAGAAGCACCTAGCACAGTCCTTAGCTTAGCTAACAGTATTGAACATATAGATAATTATTAAAAATCATAACTTACCCTCTGATTGCTCGAGGCCTCCAACAACGTGAGCTGCCCTGTGTGCTGACAAACAGAAACGCCCCATCTCATTGGCTGGCTCTAGCCAATAAACTGGCTTTGCTGCTCTTTTACTGGTATGTACATTTCCGCAAAATTAATGATTTTTAACAAGAATCTCTTCAGAAAAGAGTTGAAATAAACCCTAAATAATAAAATAATCGTGGGAAATGATTATTTTGCACCTCAGTCCTGTTGGCTGCTGGCATTGTTCATTGGTCAGGCATCAGCCAATCAAACAGCTTTACACCTGCCCCGCCCCTCCCCCGCCCCGCGCTGCTCACGCCTCTGCATTTGCAAGTGCACAGATGGGTTCTGCTCAATGACTGTAAAAAATATGGACGACGCGACAGCCCTTTTTCCCATTGAACGCCTTGAGGGCAAAACGCCTGCTTGACGGGCACAAACTGTCGCAAAAGACTGCTGAAATTGGAGCCAGACATGCGCAGAAGGACTGTCTGATGGAGCCAGAGGAGGAGCCGCGAAAATGAGCAGAGTCGAGCTTCCAATCAAACGCTTTATGTAAAATCAACTACGCCCCCCGAACTTCTCAGCATGCGTTTGCTGTCATATCAACAAAAATGGATGTAATAACGTTAACAAATATGAGGGTTTTATATATTCAATCGCGCCAGCTCCAGGCCGCAGCGCACAACTTACTCGCGGCGTCGCGGGCTGATTCCGGCTCGCATGCGGCAGCGCCTGCTCGCTCGGCCGCCGCATCTGGCTCGATTGACTAGGACTGGATTCGGGCAGTGAGTCCAGGCATCCGGAGTAGGTCCAGCAGAGGTAACATTAGTCAGTCTGAGCTCTAAGAGATAAGTCTCCGGCAGGCGAGAATCTAGCCGGAACTGTGTTTTGCTATCTGGGTGGCTAGGCGTGTATCAGCAAACTAATAAAGCCCGAAAAAAGCCCTGAACTTAGCGAATAAACAGTGTTCCACCAGGATCATGTATGTCAGAAACTATAGTTTACTGCTGAACTCATTTTGTCATGGTAAAATAACACAGAAATCGAATAATAACATTTCAGTCTACTTCACTCTCCTGCCGAAGCTCAGACGCCGCGCTTTGAGAAACTGTCAATCACAGCTGTGTATCACGATGACACGCCCAGCATTAAATTACTGCTAAAAACAAACTGTTTACAAAAATGAAGATCTGCACCTATTTCAGCACAATAACCAGTGCCTTAATCGACCAGAACTATCTTTCGGGACATTTTATTGCAAGTGTAATATTTTTTTTTATTTGGGCTCAAGTCTCCTTCATTAACACGGAGGAGGCGGGCTTTATGACTTGTACTGCAGCCAGCCCCCAGGGGGCGATCTAACGGCCGAAACCTTCACTCAAACGTAGGCTTGCGGCACACTTGGTTCTGCTACAGAGATCGCGGGAGATGTGTAGCAAAAGTCAGAGCGCGGGAGATTTGTAGTTGTACTGACAAAACTGAGAGGTTGTGAGTGCCGACCTGTGGTTGTAGAGCGAAGATGCAGTCAAATTTGCCGTGCACACGTGTGTCTGTCATTTTGTATTTGTAAATGACATTTTACAAATACACAACTATTAATCTGCAACTTCCAATTTAAAACACAAGTGTGTGGATTGTTGTGTGTGTGTGCAAATCGAGGATTTCAGCTGTTCACATCAGAGCTGTAAGTGTACATTTCAACCTACACATACAAATATTATTATCACAAGTGCTCACATTTACATTTGCAAGCTCTCGAGTTACGCAACTGAATTACCTTCATAGTTTTGTTTAGGAAGCCAGATACTTCATATCACAAACAAAATGTAATTGGCACGCATATTGGTCTTGCACAAACTCTTTCTCATTGTACATTCTGTCTTCATAACGGCTACTTTCCTGGATTTCAGGGTCTTGGTATCCTCAAGGGAAGGCTTGAGTTGTCTTTGTTGTGTCACATGTACAATAGGGTCAGCGGTCTCACATTTCTTCATGTGTTCCAGCTTTACCAGCAAGGCCGGCTCTGCCAGCTGGGAGCGGAGTTTTGTGAGCTGGAGGTCTTTGCTAAAGTGCTCAGGGCCTCTGACAAAAGGTAACCGAGTCCACTCTTGTCTGTTTGTCAAAGTAATAAAGTCCCAAAGCCATACCATATTGATGTATTTATGACCGTGCTGTATGACATTGAGTGTGTGCGTGTGTATTTTGAGCTGGTGATTCAAATCTCACATGATGTATGGAACAAGAGGTTATCCGTTTCTTTGTAGAGTAGTACAAATAGTGATAGATTTTGTCGCAATAGTGTAAAAAAGCTCATTTATTGATTCTCAATATCACAGCAATGGTGCAAATGTGCTTATTTATGCACTCTTTTAACTGATAATTCTAGGTAAATTTAAAAAAAGAATAGTACAGAGTTCATACGGTCATGGAAAACCTGGAAAAGTCATGGAATTTTGACATGTCATTTTTTAGGTCTGGAAATGTTTTGGGAAAAACAGAAAAGCCCACAAAGTTATGGAAAAGTCATGGAAACAATATGAATAGACATTAATAAAAGTGAGCGATTGCTCCATATTTGAAATTTCTTATTTTAAATGATCTTCTATTGGTCTCACGCAATCACCTGATGTGATTTTGCAGGTAAGAAATCACCCAGCTTGAACTTGTAAATGCAGTGAAATGCGAAACTTGTTGCACGTGCTTGTGTTCTGGTCCACCACATTCACATGCCTATGAATGGAAGTCTAAATGAATCGATTCTTGCAAATAGAGAGACTCCTATTTAAGCAATCTGGTGAAATGATATTTGTATCGCAATATACAGTTGAAGTCAGAATTATTAGGCCTCCTTTGAATTTTTTTTTTTATATTTTAAATATTTCCCAAATGATGTTTAACAGAGCAAGGAAATTTTCACAGTATGTCTGATAATATTTTTTCTTCTAGAGAAAGTCTTATTTCTTTTATTTCGGCTAGAATAAAAGCAGTTTTTAATTTTCTAAACCATTTTAAGGTCAAATTTATAAGCCGCTTTAAGCTGTATATTTTTTCGATAGTCTACAGAACAAACCTTCATTATACAATGACTTGCCTAATTATCCTAACCTAATTAGTTAACCCATCAACTGTCACCGGTACCCATCAATTCCATAGTAGAAAATAAATTTCTATATTCTCTAGCTACAACAAACTATTTTTTTCCTTGCCAAAAATGTTATAATGTGTCAAAAAAGCAAAACATAGCTGTATAAAATACTCTTTTTATTCAACAAAAATGTTTAAAAAAATATTTCCATGCATCTAAAACTATACACCGTAGTCTGTACTGGCTAATGGTCCCAGATCACCAGTTAACTTTATATAAATAGAGAGGTAATCTCATATTAAAGCAATGTTATTGTAAAGGAAGATAATTAAACCATATTAATAAAAATAACTGTAAGCAAAAGAAAACTTAAAACATTCTGTGTGCGATAATGAAAGGATGATCAGACTTACACGGTTAACTTTAGGCATATTATCTGTTCAAAGAATAGATGAAGTGAAAGCAGCAACCACTGCTGCTTACAAAAAATCTCAAGCTTTTGAAAGCACCAGGACTGTGGGTGGATGAGCAACACTTTTTTCCAGTCTATTTAAAAGAGACCAATCGCACCCGATGTGTTTTTAGACACGGTTGCTTTGCGCAAGGAAACGGGACACTGAAGCTTTTTGAGCACAGATGTGATGCGCGACACCAAAGCCCTCATCAGTGCATCAAAATCGCCTGTGTCTCACTGTGCGCCTGATTGTCCTCTCATTTGCTATTAATTTGCTTTCTTTTGCTCGCCTGAACAGTTATCATTCGTGCTGCTTCTTTTAGGGTAACATTTGCACACGTATCGACGAACAGTCATAAACTAAAATTCTTATCTTTAATGACGAGGCAGCACTGGCAATTTAAAAATTATTAATTTTTATTATTAATTTGGCTGTCTAACCCACCACAGCTGAAATCTGACACATTTAGCAGGTTAACAGGTGTTAATGTCAAGCCCTGGTTATTGTGCAAAGTGTATGGCATGCATAGTATATTATATAGGGCAAACTGATTTGAAAGTATCAGTTTTGATTACAATAAAACCCTCATATTATCCCAGTATTATCACCATTACAGAAATATTTCCCCTAGTAATATTATAGAATATTAATACATTATAGTAGGTGTCATTGCAAAGAGTAAGAGAAACATCCATGTTCCTTCTTTTAAATAAATATAAATAAAATAAACAATATTTTCTTATATATTTTTAAGGCTACAATATTTTTAAGTCTCTTTAATCACTGATTCATATTTGTTTTCTTCAGGCACCTCCTACACCACTGCTTCCAGGCGTTGATGGACCACGGTGTTAAGGTAGCTTCAGTCCTGGCAAACTCCTTCAGCCGCCGATGTTCATACATCGCTGAGTCTGATGCACATGTGAAAGAGAAAGCTATACAGTTTGGCTTTGTTTTAGGTATGCTGCTTTGTGACTCACTCTTGTGCACTTTCAGCTTGTAATGACAAACTCTTGTAATAATATGTTGTTGTTGTTTTTTTCCATCCCAGGTGGCTTTTTATCAGATGCCGGTTGGTATGGAGATGCAGAGAAAGTCTTCCTGTCGTGTCTCCAGCTGTGCACACTACACGATGAGGTTCTTCACTGGTATCGTGCCGTAGAGTGCTGTGTAAGGTGAGCTAATGGTCAGCTTCAGTTTCTTCCAGCTGTAAATGGTCATTTTAATGTTGGGTTAATGTTAATTATAGTGAATTAAAAAGATTGATTAATTGAATTTGTTGTATGGAATTTATCACACTTAGGCCCAATCCCAATTCTACCCCTTAGCCTACACCCCTTGTTTTGCTCGTTTACTTGAAGGGGTAGCATATGTTTTGATACATTCATCCTGGCGTTTGTGTTTTACTGTCATATTTTTTAAATATACCACTAAAATAAAAACTGCTAAATTTCGCTATTTATAATCCATAATAACCTTCTGTATAGTAGTCCCACAACATTCTGTCACTCAATCACACTCGAATACCCTGTCAGAAAAGTCTAGTGACTGGGAATGAGATTTTTACAGTGTCTGGTATAATGTTAATGTTGTTTTTGTGTGTTTGCATAGACCAATATGGCCACGGTGTAAATACACAGTACACTTACAAGCTTATTGCCGCATTATATTGTTATGATAACATGATATATGCCTTCTGTGATTCCCTGAAGATAAATACCAAAAAAAATAACGCAACTGGAATAACTACACCAGTCGCCATCATCAATCTCATATAAAGCAGGAGATCACGATGACATATGATGACGTGTGCATATGTTGTAGTGGTGTCCCATTTTTTAGGGGTAAATTTTGAAGCCCTTCCCCTTTACACTCTGTTTCAAGGGCCAAAGGGAAGGGGTACAAAAATAGAATTGGGGTTGCACATTAACTTTTTGTAATATTCCTTTATATTGCGATACATAATTTAGTGTTGAATCTGAAGATTTTTCTGTTCAATGGAATCTGTTATTTTCAAATTGTTTAGGATGAGGGTAGAAATTGAAAGCAATATTTTTAAACATTTTAATAGGCTTTAATTTATTTTTCTCAGTTGTTTTAAGTGAACTTGTCACCTATTGTTTTCATTGTTTTTGACGTTTGCAAGCAGTAAAATTATTATTTATTAATTTTTTTTATAAATTTTAAATTTATAGATAATTTTTTTATTTTTTATAATTATACGTATACTGTATCACTGAGCACTGTATCATCCTCAGTTATTTTAACCATGACTGTATATCCAATAAAACGATCAAAACAATTTAAAAGCCCAATAACTAATATCATTATTATTATTATTATTATTATTTAGAATTTTACATTTACTGTGTTAATTACATAGTTTTTATGGTCATTAGATCTTGGTTGTAAAAAAGCAGAAGAGTGTGTTACTTTGATATGTATTTATATGATATTGTATTAGTTCAAAATGTTAATCAATATTTTTGTAAAAAATAAACATTTTGACATGCAAGCTAATTTTATGCTGATTCTTATGTGCCAGGTTACTTCATGTGCGTAACGGCAACTGCAAATACCACCTGGGAGAAGAGACTTTTAAACTAGCCCAGTCTTACATGGACAAACTAGCCAAACACGGACATCAGGCTAATAAGGCTGCCTTGTATGGAGAACTGTGTGCCCTGCTTTTTGCCAAAAGCCACTATGATGAGGTGAGTCCCCTTGCAACTGTCCCAGAAGTCTGTTTGGAGAAGGCCTGTTCTACATTAATGTTTTCCTTGTGCATTTCAGGCCTATAGGTGGTGTATAGAAGCTATGAAAGAGATCACAGTCGGCTTACCTGTGAAAGTAGTAGTTGATGTTCTCAGACAAGCCTCAAAGGTCTGTTATTGTTGGATGTTTGAGTTATTCAATGTTTCTAATAATGAATCTAAAAAAGTGTCTACATTGATCTCTGCAGGCTTGTGTTGTTAAGCGGGAGTTCAGGAAAGCTGAACAACTGATTAAACACGCAGTCTTCTTGGCACGGTAAGAAATATCATGTGTAGTGAGAACTATCAACTTGAAATAGTTCAGTTTGACACTTCTGAAATATGTTCACATTTTTTTCAGGGAACATTTTGGGCACAAGCATCCAAAATATTCAGATACACTACTAGATTATGGGTTTTATCTCTTAAACGTGGATAATATCTGTCAATCTGTGACCATTTACCAGGTGAGAAAATAATCGCTTTAAATGTGGGTGTGTAAATAAGCCACTTTCTCATTTGTTTGAAAGACTAAAGGCATTTCATTTGTTATTCAGACTGCATTAGATATTCGGCAGTCAGTGTTTGGAGGAAAGAATATTCATGTTGCGACTGCGCATGAAGACCTGGCGTATTCATCTTACGTCCATCAGTACAGCTCTGGTAAATTCGACACAGCACTGTGAGTATATCATTTCTGTCTAGAGAATTATGAACTAATATTCAGCACATATGCTTGGATGTTTTTTAATGCAATCTCAGAGCAGTTAATAACCTTTTAATTTACTGGCAATTGGTATAACATTTAATACTAAATTACATTTTAGTACATTATGCTCATCCTCCAATGAGAGGCGTGGTTTGGGGTAGGCCTGTCACAATAAGGAATTTTTGTTGTGCGATACACAAGCGATATTATTGTCATTTTGAGATTTTATGCCACTGATTATATAATGATTATATAACAGCATAATAATTCAAATAGCCATAAACACTTATCATGAAAATACTTATAAAGCTTAGGGTTATTTATTTAAATTCTATAATTATGGTGGCTTAAGAAAGCCAACATACTGTTATACTACATAAACTTATTCTTCTTCTCTCGTCCTCTTCATATACTATTTTAAGAACGCATCTCCTTTTAGACCGTTCATAAAACAGCCACCAAACTAACTCCAAACCTCTAAACTAAATCAAGTTACTATATCTTTTCCAACTCATCCGACTTATGGTTTTCCGAAAACTGACCCAGAAAATTCTGAAAACTCCCATTGACTTAACATTGGACCAAACTTTGTGACCTCATAATTTTCTGTCAGACTGTCATACAGACTTAAGGTTGGGCTCATTTAACTCAGACTGCCAATCTGCCAATCACCTATGACTTTTCAACTTACTAGCCACACCCTATTTCCCTAGTAACTAATTACGGCACCCTAGCAACTGTCCCATAGATTATGATAAAAAAACTGCTTTTGGCGTTACATTGGACATACTACAAACATACTAATCCATACTAGAAACATACTAATCTATACAAGAAACATACTAATCTATACTAGAAACATACTAATCTATACTAGAAGCATACCAATCTATACTAGAAGCATACCAATCCATTCTAGAAACATACTAATCCATAATAGAAACATACTAATCCATTCTAGAAACACACTAATCCATTCCAGAAACATACTAATCCGTTCTAGAAACACACTAATCCATTCCAGAAACATACTAATCCATTCCAGAAACAGACTAATCCATTCCAGAAACATACTAATCCATTCCAGAAACACACTAATCCATTCCAGAAACATACTAATCCATTCCAGAAACACACTAATCCATTCTAGAAACACACTAATTCATTCTAGAAACACACTAATCCATTCCAGAAACATACTAATCCATTCCAGAAACACACTAATCCATTCCAGAAACATACTAATCCATTCTAGAAACAGACTAATCCATTCTAGAAACACACTAATTCATTCTAGAAACACACTTATCCATTCCAGAAACATACTAATCCATTCTAGAAGCACACTAATCCATTCTAGAAACACACTAATCCATTCCAGAAACATACTAATCCATTCCAGAAACACACTAATCCATTCTAGAAACAGACTAATCCATTCTAGAAACACACTAATTCATTCTAGAAACACACTAATCCATTCCAGAAACATACTAATCCATTCCAGAAACATACTAATCCATTCTAGAAACAGACTAATCCATTCTAGAAACACACTAATTCATTCTAGAAACACACTTATCCATTCCAGAAACATACTAATCCATTCTAGAAGCACACTAATCCATTCTAGAAACAAACTAATCCATTCCAGAAACATACTAATCCATACTAGAAACATACTAATGACATACTAATAACATACAAATGACATACTAAACATACTAGAAACATGCTAACAATATACCCAATCCATATTAAAAACATACTAATACTAGCAACATGCTAATTCGCATTAGCAACATGTTAAGTCATACTAAATTCATGCTAACAACATGTTTTTAGGTAGCTTTAGCAATGTAGAGTAGAAACATGCTAGCAACATGCTAATTCATTCTAGAACCATGGAAATTTATGTTAGCAACAGCCTTGCAACAACTCCCTGTATAGTATTAAATTTAACCTTTGGTAAATGTTCAATTATAAACTTTGTCACTGGTGAGATAGAATGTAAATGTCATTGTAAAATGGCTTTAACGTTATTTGTGAATTTGTAAATATATTTCGCAATGACAAAAATGATTGTGTTAATCTCCAAGTATTGCATGATAATTCGATATATTGATTATTGTGAGAGGCCTAGTTTAGGGCCATGCCTTCTTTTAAAAATCATACATATTCAAGTGAATGAAATCCTATGAATTTGTGCCAATTAGCCACTTGCTGACAATATCTGAAATAGCTGCATTTCTCATGAGATCGGGCGGGATTTTTCCCAATCAAATGAAAAGTTTGTAGATGATTCATGCACAGATGATCAGGTTATGGTTGTAGGTCAAAGACATTCAAGCATCAAAACAATATAAATCTGTAACCTTTTTAAGGATGTAGGGCTCCCCAATCTCAAAACAATTCACTAGGCAACACTGAAAAATACGTAATGGGTCGAAGTCGAAATAGCACTGCTGTTTTTATGAAAGAACACAAACATTCCTCTTATCAGGATCATCATGAAAACATGAGTAACTTTATTGGTGTCATGAGTCACTTCTTGAAAAGCAAGCTGCCACTTCTGTCGATTCAATTCAGTATAAAACAGTATTTTGGTTGTGGAGATAATCCAGTGTGAACTTTTATACCATTTTATCTGTCCCTTGAGTGTAAAGAAGTCCATAAAACAGATGGCCAGTATTTGCCCTTACCTTTAACACAATTAAGTGGTTCTTCTAGAACTGTTTTTCTGTCTGTTTTCATGGAAGTGTTTGTCAAATGAAATGTACCAGTTTCATACTTTGAATTGTACTTTTAGATTCCACGCAGAACGTGCCATAGATATCATAACTCATATTCTCCCTGAAGAACATCTGCTGCTGGCCTCGTCCAAGAGGGTGAAAGGTGAGGCTAGTGCTTTTAAGAGCTTTCATAACTACTCTCATTCACAGCTGCATTACTGAAGTGGCCCATGTTTAATGTATCTGTTCTTTCAGTTAGTTTCTCTACTTAATTTTTTTTAGAATCACGTTATTTTACGCTAATTTGTATTTCTGATGTTGCATCTGTAGCTCTAATCCTGGAGGAGATTGCCATCGATTGCCATAACAAAGAAACCGAGGAGCGCCTCCTACAGGAAGCCCATGACCTGCACCTTTCCTCCCTTCAGTTGGCCAAAAAAGCCTTTGGAGAATTCAACGTTCAAACAGCAAAACACTATGGCAACCTGGGCCGACTTTATCAATCCATGCGCAAATTCAAGGTTCTTATTCATTCGTAACCTCTTAAAGTGCCCAATATTACAGTAAGGTCCATAAATATTTGGACATAAATGAAACATACAAGTGTGTTTTAACTGCAGACTGTCAGCTTTAATTTGAGGGTATTTACATCCAAATCAGGTGAACGCTGTAGGAATTACAACAATTTGCATATGTGCCTCTCACTTGTTAAGGGTCCAAAAGTAAATGAACAATTGGCTTCCATGTTCCATTGCCAGGTGCGTTTGGAATCTGTTACTGTCAACTCTCAATATGAGGTCCAAAGAGCTGTCACTATCAGTCAAGCAAGCCTTTAATAGGCTGAAAAAACAAAACAAACCCATCAGAGAGCAGAAACAGAAAGCCATCAGAGAACAAAAGCTTTAGGCATGGCCAAAACAACTGTTTGGAATATTCATAAAAAAGTAAAAACGGATAAATGGATGAATTCTTAAATGTTTCAGGCAATATTTTCTGTTCATATTAAGCCAAATGCGTCAGAACTCATTGGACAGTGCTTTACAGTGCAGATGGTGAATGACCCAAAGCATACTGCAAAAGCAACCAAAGAGGTTTTAAAGGGAAAGAAGTGGAATGTTATGCAATGACCAAGTCAATCACCTGATCTGAATCCGATTGAGCTTGTATTTCACTTGATTATGACAAAACTTAAGGGAAAATTACCCAAGAACAAGTAGGAACAGCGGACCGGCCTGGAAGAGCACCACCAGGAATAAAACCCGGTGTCTGGTGATGTCTGTGCGTTCCTGTAATTGACTGCAAAGGATTTGGAACCAACTATTAATAAATGAAAGTTTGATTTATGATTATTATTCTGTCCAATTCTTTTTGGACCCAGAACAAGTGGGAGGCACATATGCAAACTATTGTAATTCCTACTGCATTCACCTGATTTGGATGTAAATTCCCTCAAATTAAAGCTGACAGTCTAAAGTGAAAGCACATCTTGTTCATTTCATTTCAAATCTATTGTGTTGGTGTATAGAGTACAAAATATTAAAAAAGTGTCGATGTCCAAATATTTATGGACCTAACTGTATGTTTTCCAACTGTGTGAGCTAAACGTAACAGACCCTGGTTATAGTGGAACTAACGGGTTAGTTGAGCCAAAACTAAAAAGTTCCTGCTTATTTACTCACTCTAGTAGTTTTGCACTTTTGTGAATTCCTTTGACCACAAAACAAGATATTCTGAAGAATGTTGAGAAAAGTAAAACTATTAAAGTCAATGGCTCGTCCTTTGTGTTCAACAGAAGGAAGAAAGGTTTGGAACAAGTGGAGTAAACAATGGCAGAATTTTTATATTGGGGCGAACTTTCCCTTTGTTTGGTTGATTGGATAGCAAGTAGATAGGATATTTCTATTTACATCTGTTTTGGGGGGCGTTTACTCAAAAACGTTTGGTTTTGTATTTATACATGTTGCCTGTCTGTTTAAACTGCAATGGCGTTTTGTAACTGAAAACAGGTTTCAAAGTTGACGTTTTTGAGTAAACGGTGACGTCATGTGCATGAATAGTACGTGTTTAGTGGAGTGTAGATTAAAGGCAAGCGTAAACAAACACACACCAATAGGGGAGTACATAGTAGTGTTGCTCAAGTGTTTGATAACACTTCATCAGCAAAGGGGGGATTTACTTCACATTACAACCAAAATGGAGATGCATCTTGCACACATGGCAAATTATACATGAACATAAGCATCAAGCCAATGACTGCCACTTCCTTACAGGTGCTGTCAACAGAGCCAAGTACTAGCTTGGCTTATGTGATGAAGTGTTTTTGGCGTTTTTATGCCAAACATTGTCATGTAAATGTGGAACGTTAAGGAAAGCAAACTTTTAAAATATTTGGCTACATAGTTGTCGTGTTAATGTAATTCAGCTGTGTCACCAGAAAAAAAATATATATATTTTATTATATATAAAGGTTAAAAATCTGATTTATGAATCAATTTGTTTGTAGTTTTTAATTGTATATTTATTAATGGCATGTTTTTGCCATGAAAATAGCCATTGTTGCTGACATGGCGTTAAATACACATGTATGATATGTCATATTAATGTAGATTTGATGTGTCTTATTTGTTATTGTCTATTATTGGCCCCTTTTATCTTGTTATCTTCTTCCCAGCAGATCTTCAGTGGTACCATTTATACTATGAATACAATCCTATTAAATGTGTTTTCATCTACCTTTGGATGGGGTTGAATGTGAACTAGCTCAAAACGTTATAGTTGCACCTTGTGTTTTTTCAGGGTCTAATCATATTTTAATGCCAAGTGTAAACGGGGCAAATGAGTGTTTTTAAGCTTGTCATTTGGTTGACTGACCTTTCTGTGGTGTGTTTTGTTATGCAGGAGGCAGAGGAGATGCACATCAAGGCCATACAGATCAAGGAGCAGCTGTTAGGACAGGAGGACTACGAGGTGGCGCTGTCAGTGGGACATTTGGCCTCGCTCTACAACTATGACATGAATCAGTATGATGATGCAGAGCGCCTCTACCTGCGCTCCATCGCTATTGGTGAGGATGCGTAATGCATTTTGGATGAAAATGTATGATTATACAGTATCATGCTAAAGTTTTACATTGTTTTACTGATGGTTTATGGATATATGTGACCTTTTACCAAAAGGGTCTTAGATTTGAGATTTATACAGGATGAATAAATGATCTTTCAATTGATGTATGGTTTGTTAGGATAGCAGTTAGGTTAGAGTTTGAATTACTTTGGTTTAGTTGTTTAAGACAATGCTGGAGAGAGGCTGTTTGTCCTGATCTGAGCTGCATTGCTACACTGTAAATCCCAACAGTCAACTTAATCAAATGAAATGCGTGTAGTTAACTGAAAATTGACAAAGTTAATTCTATTCATTTGAAAAGAGTTTTGAACTTAGTGTTAAAGGTAATGAGTAGGCCCACGCGGAATCTGTGATGGATTTTTAGTCCATCATTAAGTCTATTTATTAACTTGTGTAAATTGATATTTATTCAGTTTTTAAATACATTTTAGGAGTATTATTGGCTAATATGAAAGTGTTCATTTGATTTATTTACAATACAGCTTGTAAAGTAATATTTTCTGCCTTTTAGTAGATATATTGTATGATAGACTTGATTTCTTTACCAAATAAGTGAATCAATTTTGCATTGTAAACATTACGTAAAAGTTTAAAAGCTATTATTTTTTATTCAGCATATTAAGTTTTTAGTTTTGTTACTCACAAAATAATTCTGCATAAATCCGCAGATTTCTTACAAAATTCTCTGCAGAAATAGCAAAAAATGTCCGCGAATTCTGTCTGGCCCTAGTAATGAGTTAATTAAATACCTCATTTCTTAAACTTAAATGGATTAAGTTCACAGTACTCATTAAGACTGGTTTTTGAACTTAAATGGTTTGCTGCAATCCATTTCCTCAAATGGTTTGAGTTACCTTAACTCTTTGAGTTTTAGAGTGTACTAATGTTGTTGGCAATACTGTCTGAATTGATGGAATTGTGAATGTTTCAAAGTACAGATAGGTTTTAATGCATTATGCTAATCCTTCTAGAAAGGACTTCAGTGGTAGTTTTCATTTTCAGCATGATACTGATCAGGTAATTGCAGTGAAATCCTATTTGGAGAAAGAAAACAGCTGATGAAATTCAGGCAGTAATGAACTTGCCTCCACAGGGTCCAAACCTGAATATTGCAGAGGATGTATATGAGTCTGGTATAGTGCTTAAAAACGTTGCACCGTACTGTACATTTATCGGAGGTGGAGCAGTGGGTAGCAATCTCGCCTCACAGCAAGAAGGTCGCAGGTTCAAGCCTCGGCTGGGTCAGTTGGCATTCCTGTGTGGAGTTTGCATGTTCTCCCCATGTTCGCGTGGGTTTTCTCCGGATGCTATTGTCCAAAAATGTGCTATTAGTGAATTGGGTAAGCTAATATTGTCTGTAGTGTATGTGTGTGAATATGAATGTATGGGTGTTTCCCAGTGATGGGTTGCAGTTGGAAGGGCATCCGCTGCGTAAAACATATGCTGGATGGCGGTTCATTCTGCTGTGGCGACCCCAGATTAACAAAGGGACTGAGCCAAAAAGAAAAAGAATGAATGAATGAATGTACATTTATCGGCGCTATCAGTTATTGGGGTTTGTTATCTTTTTGGTTATTTGATTGGATATTAAATATCAAATAACTGAGGACCACAATGCAAACTTTTGGAAATGGAAATTGATATTTTTTGTATTTCAATTTTGACAGTTTTTAAAATATGTATGAGTTATTCCTATTGGCCTGTCAAATAAAAACAAACAAAACAAATATAGAGTCATTATGGTCAAAATAATTGGTCAAATTAATAAAATCAAAGATGTCAAAAAGTAAAGTAAAAAAATGGTTCATGTTTCAACTTCAGAAGTCATTCTAATTAGATTTTTTTTCTGAATGTTTAATTTAAGTTTCAAAAGAACATTTAAAAAAGTACCAAGTGTCTGTTCTGTCATTTTTAATGACTTTACCACATGTTTAAAATAGCAACCCCAGTCATTTGAATCTATCTGTTGTTTCCTTCAGGCAAGAAGCTGTTTGGGGAGGGTTACAGTGGACTGGAGTATGACTACAGAGGCCTGATAAAACTGTACAACTCAGTTGGAAACTATGAGAAGGTATTTGAGTATCACAATATTCTGTCCAACTGGAACCGTTTAAGGGACAGGCAGTTTGCCGTAGCCGATGCGCTGGAGGACGTCAACACAACCCCCCAGTCCACAGAGCAGGTGGTGCAGTCTTTCCTGCTTTCCCAGAGCCACGGAGCCGGACGCTTGGGCTAACACACCCAGCGTTCACTTTAAAAACACATAGATGTGCACAGCCACCCCCATTTCACACATTCACACCCATTTATTCACAAGTAGTCAAGGCAAGGAGGGGAAGTTTGGAGAGCTCTTGAACTGTCAGTTCACAGTTCCCATAGGCCCATTTTCCTTGAAGTGGGAACATAAACATGACCATGCTTAAACACTCACCATGGACAAGAAACCATTCTTCAAAGAACCATTGAATTATAAAAATAAAATAAAATGAAAAAGGAGCGAGGATGGAAATCTTCGAACCACCGCTTTTTTTTATTTTGTATTCGAAGGAGTGTTGCTCCACATACAGGAATACCTATCACTGCATCTGCTATTTGTGAAGAAAAGCACTCGACCGAGTGAAGGAACATCCGTAGATGTCCGTGTCCCCATTAACACAAGGATTAGCGCTTGACTTCATGTAATGCAAAGCTTTGCATTCGAGGATTACCTGCGTGCTCTCTGGGAAATGAGACCAGCCATGTTACATTATGGACCATTATGTTCATTTTTTTTGCTTTTTTTATTATTATTATTAATTCATGTCACGTGTGGAATTCATGGACCAGTGGATTTACGAATGCTCCAGCTACCTTGTTTTAAGTTCTGGTTTTGTATTCCCTTAGTACTGACATAGCTTGTTTTAAACTGCCAATAATTTATATGCAAGGTATGCTACAAGTTGTAGGTGTAACGTTGCAAGCGGATGAGCCAAACGGAGTTCTTTTATTAATAAATACGAGCTAATTGCCATATTATTAAAAAGACGAGGACGAGTTTTCACAAAGCCGGCTTTCTGTCACAGCGCCTTATTCACTCAAGCACACACATGAAATAAGCTGAAGCGGGGATAGCTTCGGGACCAGGTTTCCCAGGTCGCTGTTGTTTTCCTTTCAGAGCTCGGCCGCGGGTGGCATAGATTAACACCCCTGTCCCACTTCCAGCTGACTGGACAGGCTGAAAAAAGGGCTGAGCGCAGCACCTGTCATTGTAAAGAGGCTCCCTTGTAGAGGAACCTGCGCTATAGTGAATCCACGCACAATTGTGCAATATTTGCTGAACGCACCTGTACCACTCCAAATCCAATCAGTCGGACTCATTTCACTGCCGAATATATCCAAACGTGTAACCAAGTTGATTTAATTGGCACACTTTACAGAGAACTCACTTTTGTTTGTTGTCGTTGGCAGAAACAAAGCCTTGCTCCAGGCTAGTCATGTAGAATGTGATGTTAATGTCGTGCAGCTTTTGAGCTCCCGATCACTCCAGCTCGAGCTAAAGTCCCAGCCTTAGTCTTAAAGGACTCTCAGCTGGTGGGATCTACTTTTGTCAGCCTTTCTCAAGTCGCTTGCTTTGAGCGAAACCAGGTTGAGCCTACAACCCAAGAAGGAGATCGCCTAAAACATGAGGGACATTTTCACTCTTTTAAAAAAATTAAAAAAGAAATAAAATACATTGTTGTTGCATTTGAGGCTTGATCGTGAAGAATTCAAGATGTTAAGAGGAAGGGAAATGGAATAATATTGTAACTAAATAAACTGTGACCTCGCAAAACCCTTGTAAGCGAAATTCCGTTGGCGGTGTGTGGTAAATGGACTGAATGAGTTGGGTTTCTCATATCAGCCTACGAGTGGGAATGAAATGTGAAAACGGTGCACGTGAGAAAACAAGTAAGCTGAACGAATCTATAACGTAGCTCTGATGGCTTCTTTCTGAATGTCGATTCAAGGGCTCATTCGTCAACCTCAAGTGGCATTTCTTGTTCAAATCCAAACTGTTTCTCCATCAAAAAAAAAAAAAAAACGAAGGTGCTTCTGGGTCAAATGGTTCCTTTCTTTGCATGTTTAGCTAATTGTAAATAGATGTAGATGCATAGCTACGAGTGGTTCTTGTCCCAGTGAGCTCCAAAAAATCACATTGAAATAAGTGTTCAACTGATGGAGGGAATTAATAAATAGCATCTTCAGACAAGAAAACCAATCCTGACACTATATAGCCCTTCGAAATCTGCCCTTAGAGAGTTGGAGAACGGAAAGTATGGGTTGACAACTGTTTCAGCGATGCTAATTATCTTTATGAAGTCCTCAGATGTGCTGCCATGTGTAGATTGTGATTTAGCCAAAGTGCTGTTTAAAATGGACGATGGCGATCCTTGAAGTAACAACCTATGAGTGGATGTGATCTCTTACCATTTAAAAAAAAAAAAATTTAAATACATATTTCTGTCTATATCCATTGGAGATGCTCTGTTGATTGAGTCCAATGGCAAATTGTGTTACTATTTAATATTGATGCTGACTGTTACCCTGGAAATGTCAGTAAGTTGTGCCACAGTGAGCCTCTGCTTGGATTATTCTTCAGTCATTGGCTTTATGTAACTCACCCTCAGTAGAATCTGCTGTACATTGTACATCTGTAACCACCAAACCATTATTAAACTCATTTGTATCCACCATTGTGAAAATCTGTAACTAACTCTAACACGAAAACAACAACAACAAAACAATATTAAGCTGTCTTATAGACTACAATGAGCAATATTGCTTCTGAAGTATTAAAAGTTGCTTTATTTTTTGCCTTTACGTGATTTTTCTCCACCTGTGTGGAATGTTCGAGTCTTGGACTTGAATGTGATCCTATAAAAAACACTCTGTCGGGGTGGGTTGATGGCTGAACAGAAACTGAAGAATAAAAGACTGTACTCAGATTTGTAGAAGATGTTTACTCACTTGTTCACCGTAATTAATGTCATATTTCATTTGTATCATTTCTGCCAAATTGCTGAATTCATCCTAGAACCTAATGAGATATTTAATATGTAATTAATTATACACTACAGATCAGTTTGGGGTCAGTAGGAAATTAACACTTTTATTTAGCTTTTAATTTATCAAAATATACTGAAAATATATATATATATTTTTTTAAATATTATTTGTTTTAAAATTAATTTCAGAACTTTGGAACTTTCCATACTCTCAAAAAATTATTTTTGCTCCTTGTTTAAATTACTTACTTAAAATTTGCTGAAACAACACAATTCCTGAGATTTTTTTTCAACATGTTAGCCAGCACTCACACCTAAAGTTAGACATTTACACCACACTTTAAATCGTAACAGTTCTTGACCACAGTGAGCTACAAACAAAAGGTATTTTAGGTATCATTGGAAATTAGACGCTTTGAGCTTACTGTGGTTCATCTGGAAGGTTTCATGATCAAATATATAAAAAGGTATACATCAGGAAGTAATGAGAAAAAAATTGTACTGTGTTCAGTAGTTCAGTATTTGTTTTTTTTGTTTGTTTTTTTTTTCTTCATTATTTGACGGCATTAACATCCAAATCAGGTGAACGCTGTAGGAATTACAACAGTTTGCATATATGCCTCCCACTTGTTAAGTGTCCAAAAGCAACTGGACTATTGGCTTTCAAGCTGTTCACTGTGGTGTGTTTTTCACGCATTATCCCATTTACAATGAGCAGATAAAAGGTCCAGAGTTCATTTCAAGTGTGCTGTTTGCATTTGGAATCTGTTACTGTTAACTTTCAAGATGAGATCCAAAGAGCTGTCACTATCAGTCAAGCAAGTATTAAAAAGTGAAAGTTTGATTTATGATTATTAATCTGTCCAATTACTTTTGGATCCTTAACAAGTGAGAGGCACATACGCAAACTGTTGTAACTCCTATTGCGTTCACCTGATTTGGATGTAAATACCTTAAAATAAAAGCTGGCAGTCTGCAGTTCAAGCAGATCTTGTTCGTTTCATTTCAAATCCATGGTGTTGGTGTATAGAGCCAAAAATGTTAGAATTGTGTTGCTTTCCAAATATTTATGGAACTAACTGTATAATCACTGAGAGTTTTAATATAATATTTTAAAAAAATGTAAAAAGCATTTTAGAAGCTAAATAAATAAAACATACACATTTCAGATTTAAAGTAAAACGTAAAAATTTTATTTGCATACTGGTTATTTTTACATTCAAGCATTTAAAAGTTACTTACATTGCATATATGGGTATATATAAAGTCAAGCCCAAAATTATTTACACTCCTGGCAAATTCTGACTTGGTTACTTAACCCTTTGACTGCCCCTCTAGCAGATGATTGACCATGTTTTTACCGTTTTAAATAATGTCTGTTAAAGTCGTTTAAAGAATGACTGTTTTAAGTAAGCGTTAACAAACACAACATCATTGTTACAAAAATAATAATAATAATAATTGTGTTGCACTACTACACTTGATTTTGGTTTTATTGTAAAAAAAACAAGAAAACATTTTAAATGAAAATCTGAAATATTTTATGGCATTCCTCAAAAAATAAAGGTAATTTAGTATTCAGAAAATATTTTAGCAATTTTTTTTTTTAATAAATTGATCTTACACTTCATATTTTCAGATTTGTCATAGTATATATATTTATTACAGTACTTTTACCATAAATCGACATAAACCATTTGGTAGAGGCTTATATTTTAGAAATTATGGGATGTGTTGGAAAAAACTGCATCAAGTGTGTTAACTAGTGACATTAGGAGTTAAGAAATGCAATCCATTTTTCTCTTGGTGGGGTAGTAAAGGGTTAAAGAACTATTCTACTTAAACAAAAAAAGAAAATTTTCCTCGATGCCTGTTGTACATCATCTTATCTTTTGAGAGAAGCATGTGTCATTTCCAGACAAAAGTAATTCTTGCTGGTTAAATAAATGTAATTTGCCAGGGGTATAAATAATTTCAAGCTTGCTGTAGATGTAGTAACAAGTACATTTCATCAGTTTTTTCATATCCTGAGAATTTAAGCCATAAATTTGCCATTATTAACCCCATATACAATAAATATACAACAAATGCATTGACCAAACCTCACTAACAATGTATCTATTACAGTGCAGTGGGCTTCTCTTTCTAAACACTGCATTCCAGGACTCTGGCATAAATATATCTCACTTTAAAATATATTCAAGTGAAAACAACATTAGTACGCAGTAACATTACCTCCTTGATACGTTAGATTCAGCATGCTCACTCAAAGAGATGAAGTGCTTTTCAGGTGCAGTAGCCTCATAAAATATGAATCTTAGACTTTTAGTTGTTCTTTTCTTCCTCTTCATCTTTCAGTAGACATTTCAGGTGGGTTGAAATGCACCACATCTGCAAAATCACACATAAACAGTAGTGTATTTACATTCAGGTAACTCTATTGTAACTTAAAGCTTCTCTAATATGCTTTTTCAGAAATAATTTCAAATACAGTGTGTAATGAATGTAGCTTTTTGTGAATGTAGACGCCAAGAAAACACCAGTGATCGTCTAATTTACAGATGGAAGGAAAAATTATTAGCCCTCAAAAGATTTCCCAAGTAATGTCTAGTGCTGATGATACACAGGGTAATGTTTTGAGCAATGTTTCTGGGCAATAAAGGAGAGCACTGTTGTTTGACTACTTTATTATTAAGAATAGGCAACAATATTGAATTTTTGTATCCCACTGACCTACTTAGTGTCTCACCTGATTGCCCATTGACGGCAACATTGCTCAAAACGTTGCCCAGTTTATCATCGGCATAAGAGAACAGTGCAATTTTCACAGCATTTCCTATTATAGACCTTTTTCATCCTCCTTATGCATACACGCAAAGCATAATGGGTATATTTGTGTTCTATGAAAAATGTCTATATTTTCTTCTGGAGAAAGTCTCATTTCAGTTGAGTACATTTTACAAATATTATAGGGTGAATATTAATAGCCCTCTTAAGAAATGATCTTATCTCTTTGCTAAATAAGAAACCACTGTTTACCAATGACTTTCCTAATTAATCGAACTTAATTCGATTAAGACATGACGATTAAGACATGACGTAGGAGTGCGGTTTCCCAGCCCATCGAATTGATTGACAGCCACATATTAACATGTCTCTGTAGTAATGCCTATAATCATATCAACAAGACAGGATGTGCGCAAAGCAACTGTGATACAGAACTGTGATCTGTTCAGCTCACTGTGATGATCATCAATCTTCATCAAATGTGATCAAGTTTTACAAGTTTAAAACGTTTTTAAACCAGATTATGCTTCTATTGAATTACAGCGATTTTTATCGTCTTTACTTGATCACCACAGCCGAATGTCAGAACAATTATAAAAGAAGACGTTTCAATCCCGGTTTGTGGATGTTAAATCAGGTTTATTGTGTACATTAATATAACGTATGTCCATACAGCAGTGGATATTAACCTGTATCCTGTCACATTTGCCATATAAAAACAGTATAAAGTTAAACTCGCGCGCTGTGTGTCTGTGTACATGAACTTTGTAACGACATTGTGTGTGACTCATCGTAGCAGAAAGGCTTGATTTACTCCACAACAAATACATCAAATAATCATTGGGGAATTTATTTCTGTAGTATTTCTCACAAACGTTACTTGAAATCTGCTTCCTTCACGTGCTTATATTATATTAGACTTATATTAAGTCTTAAAAAAGGGGTAAAATAGGTGCTCTTTAGCTTAATTCCTTTGTTGTTCCAAAAAAATGTGATGGTGTAAAAAAACACTTTTTTTTCCAGCTACACCTAATGTAGGAGACTTTCAAAACAAAATTAGGAATGTCTATATATAACAGCCACTATTTTAATGTATAAAATGCTGGGTAAACATGCACTTCACCTCAACTGCAAAGCCCAGCACTCGTCCTGCTGCAAGCACCAGAATCCCCACAATCTGCAGCCAGTTTGGTGCACAGAGAGCCTGAGACAACACCTCATGCTGGAAAACATACAGCCACACGGGCAAAACATGGAGCCCTGCTACTGTCAGAATGCCCAACGGAGTCTTGAAGCCTGCATGAAGGATAAACAGGATTACATGAGGGCACAATCACATAAAAACACACCGTGTAAAAATCTGCATAATGATGATCTACTGATAATAATATGCAAATTACAGAACATTTACATATTGACCAGCATAAACTACCAAGAGCAGCATGAAAAAAAATCGATTCGTTAGTATATCCCAACTAAGACTGGGTATGAATTCAGACGTCTCACTTCGATTTCAATATGACTAGCAAGCTCTCCTAGCAAGAACTGCTGATTTTTTTTCTTGGGTTCCTAATTTGATTTAATGACAATATATTTGATATGGATTTTGATCATGAAAATTTCATCACATTTCAAAGCATGAACAATTAATAATCATCTTATTTTGCCAACATAGTACTTATGCAAAAAGCACTGCACTAGTGTATTTATTTATTTAGTATTTACTTCAAGAGTACACACTTAGCTGATGATTGGTAATGAGCTAGTTTGGCATGCTGTCCCGGGAGAGAGCCCTGAGCACATGAGATCCTCAAGCCCGGGGCTCCCTCCGAGGGGAGTTTGAGCTCAGCTAGATCTCCTTATACTATATCTTATGCACAAATAATAGCCTAATGTAAAATATAAAAGCAAAACATCAGTAGGCCATTTGTATTGGGTACACCTTGTAGTATTGAGGATGAGTCGTCTGCAAATGTCATATTAATTTGGACGGTCTCAGACATTTGTTAGCAAGAACTTTGGTGCAGATAATGCACTACGGCAGGGTCGAGAAAATTAAATAAAACCATATTTCAGGTAACTATCTTGGTGTTTCCAGGATTGCTAGCGCTGCGACCCAAAATGTTTGGAGCTTCCTCACCTGGGTCCAGTATGCTTGAGTCATTACTATTAACTGCTGAAGGTGAATCAGCAAGACTCTGGGCATACTCACACTAGGTACAGTTGCCTTGAACTGAGCCTAAGCATGCTTGTCCCCCCTCCCGTCTCCCCCAATGGCCCGCACTCGCATTACATTCAAGCCTGGGCACGCTTACGTCATCCATGACCTGCTTTCGCTTAGCTCATTGGAGATTTCTTCAGCTGAATCATTTAAGTCGTTTGACTTAACGACTTAACAATCAAACAGATCTTCCACTTTTGACGCTCATAAACAATCATTAAGCCCTCGTGCTGCAGGAATTAGGAGGTTTGCTGAAGGTGCAGCTGTCGTGCAGTGAGGGGTTTGCGTCTTTAATAAACTACGAGTTTGTGTTCGTTGAACAGTAAGAATGATTATTAAATACATATCAAACAGTCCCTTAAAAGTCACGTCTCGCTTTCAGTTTTGGGCTCAGGCCTGTTTTACACTCACACACAAGTGCCACGACAAAGAACAAGTGAACCGCACTCTGGCACACCTTTTCCAACCGGACCAGGGCCAAGTGAACCGTGCCTGTGCCCGATTCAGAGCACTCACACTTCTCAAACAATCTGGGAAACGGGCCTGGGCACGTTTCAGATAGCATAGAGTGAGTAGGCCCTCTGTCTTTTTTTGTGGAGTACGAATTACAAATGTGACCATTTTTTTTGTCAGCCAGGGGATAAAATGAATTTTTGAAACATGATCGTTCTCCTAAATGTCCATTGCTAATTTTTTTTTTAAATATGACAAGACCTCCACAGAGCTTGCCCCCCCCCCTTGTGGGCCGAGACCCCCCTTGTTGGGAACCGCTGCTTTAAAGTACATATGAAATAAAATAACCATATTGATTTTGTTAGCTCATAATGCTAGTTTTGTGGTGAACAATTCATCTTTAAGAAAAAAATGTCCTTGTAATATAAAAATAGAAATCTGTAAATGCACTTCCTATTAGTTTTCAGTTCAATTTTCAGGTCATGTCTGTCTGAGGTATTGAGTTTGGCTAACATTCTTAACCACGCCCCTATAACTGTCAGTTTTGACAACAAACAGAAATGGTGAGGAAGAGGTGTCTGTTAGCTTCTAATAGCTCTCTTCAAACACTTTTTCCTTTCTTTCTGAATGTAATGGCTACGTTTTGCAATAAAAAAAAACAAGCCAAGCCCACTGTTTTCTCATTTAACTTTACATTTCTCCAGGAACTGTCACAATACAAAAAATAATAATAATAATAATTATAACACGGTCATAGCTTCCGGTTTATGCAGACTTATACTAATACATACTATTATTATACTAATATTGAAATAAATAAATAAATAAAAATCAACATACCATTTGCCATCACAGCTTGCACCCAAACCGGACTCTCTGAGAAAGAATTCTTCCACTGTGCACCTCTTGCATTGTGGTTGCACACAAATACACACCACTCCACTGAAGACACCAGCCAGCCCCACTTCACATACACATAGCATACAGTCATAGTACAAATGCACTTATCACAAAAAATAGGCTACATGTCCCATACTGACTGAACTTACATCATAAAGCATGTTCCAGATCATCCCACGTCCTACATTATCAATGACCACGTCCAGCCATGCACCAAACCTAGAGGTCTGACGCAGTCGACGTGCCACCCATCCATCAACCCCTGACACAAAGATAACATAATAAATCAATGGGTGCACAGTAAAATTCTTTAAATACACTAAAACTAATAAGTGACCAAGTAAAAAATACTGTTTGCCAAAGGTCGTACCGTTAAGGTGTAAAAGTTAGCATTCGGCGGGACATGAAAACTTCCTGATAAGATTTATGAAGTTATGTGTTGCATGAACATATATTTTAGTTCAGTTAATTATAAACAGTTTAAGCTGTTTATGTTAATGAGAATGAAATTAAATGTAAAAAGATAATTAGCTATTTTAAAAATTAAGGGAGCACTTGAAAATTCTTAGTTTCTCTGGAGTTGGAGAAAACCTTTTTTAATTAATGAAAACATTTGTTATTTTACAATTGTTATTTTCTGAAGGACAGAAACTACATGAGAACATTTGTTTTATGTTTAATCAGATCTTTACAGAATAAAAAATATATATTTTTATAATGCATCAAATAAAATGAGTACCATTAGATAATTATATTTAACATCAAATTGAATAACATTGTTTATTTTTATATGTTATATTGCTGTAATACTTATTTTAAGACATCTTGTGGCCCTATTGGAAGTTTACTGAGGCCCCCTAGTGGCTTAGGCCCGTATTGAGAAGCATTGCTGATATGTTGAAGTCAGAATTATTAGCCCCCTTCAATTATTAGTCCCCGTTTATTTTTTTCCCCAAATTTCTGTTTAACGGAAAGAAGATTTATTCAGCACATTTCTAAACATAATAGTTTTATTAACTCATTTCTAATAACTGATTTATTTATCTTTGCCATGATGACAGTAAATAGTATTTGACTAGATATTTTTCAAGACACTTCTATACAGCTTAAAGTGACATTTAAAGGCTTAACTAAGTTAATTAGGTTAACTAGGCAGGTAAGGGTAAATAAGCAAGTTATTGTATAACCATGGTTTGTTCTGTAGACTATAGAGAAAAAAGCACTAGGGGCTAATAATTTTTACCTTAAAATGTTTTTTTTATTTTTATTTTTTTATGTAAACTGCTTTTATTCTTGCCAAAATACAACAAATAAAACTCTCTAGAAAAAAATATATTATCAGACATACTGTGAAAAAGTCCATGCTCTGGTAAACATCATTTGGGAAATATTAAAAAAACGAAAAATTCAAAGGAGGTTAATAATTCTGACTTCAAGTGTAAAAATAAATAAATAGGTCAAGAAATAAAGGTTCCACCAAGGGGTTCTTGTTGTAATTTCATAAAATGATCATTTTGAGTTCATAATTTAATAAAAAAAGTAAAAAAAAAAAAACATAATATAATATTTCAGTTAATTGTTTTGTCATTGAATATTTTACTAACAACAGAAGCTTTTACAATTTTGCATGGATGTTAAATGTTCTATTTGAAAGCACAAATGTCTGTAAAGAACCTTTATTTTTAAGATTGCATGTATTTATATAGTCGGATATGTGTAGTACTTACCATCCAGAATAACAGATAACACATACAAGGGCACAAAACAATGTGGGTCTCTATACAGAATCCAGGCAATGAGAACAAGAAGGATTCGGATGTAACCTGGAAAATCATGATAGTTAAACAAATTGTTTTACTAAGAAAAGTAATGTCATTAAAGTATTTAGGGTGATTTCAAATTTGCTAAACAAATTGTGCTGCGTCAAAAAAAAAAAAACCTAACAAAAAAAAACAGCAACATGTTATGGATTAACTCACCAATTAGGTTGGGAACATAGAGAATGACCTGGAAGCCCATTTTACAAGCGCTCCTGCAGCAGGCGCGTGTCTACAGTTACAGTCTTCTGTGTCATATTTACACAACCTTGCGTAATCTATGTGAATAGCAGCTATTCAAAATAGCATTATGATCATAAACGTTTATTTCATACTGCAGGTGCGACCTCTTCCCCATGTGTCATTTACAATAGAGCAGATAAACAGAGGTCACTTCCGGCTTTCTGACAGACTGTACACGCGTCATTTAGGTTGCAGTAAAAAGATGTCTTTAGATGGCGCTAAAAGATCAGCGCCTGAATATCAATGCTGAATATAGAGTTTTTGTTACTTTAATTGAGATTGATGAAAGGTTAGCGCTAAATGCATATGTGCAGCCTGCTGATGTATATCTGCATAATTACTTGTCAAAACTGATTTTAGGTTGATCACGTCCTTTAAGAACAAAAGTCAAGCCAAGCTAGTGATGCTTCTATTATGAACGAGATTAAAAAGTCTTACAATCCTTATTGTTAACTGAAATAAAGTTAATCATAAATAAAAGGTATTTTTTAAATCCTTAAATAACAATAAATAAATAAATACATAAGTAAGAAACTATTAACTGGCCAAACAAGTTATACAAATATTTTCTTTAAAATATGAAAATATAAGGTGTTTGCATGTTCTCCCTGCGTTCGCGTGGGTTTTCTCCGGGTGCTCCGGTTTTCCCCACAACCCAAAGACATGCCGCACTAATAGGTGAATTGGGTAGGCTAAAATTGTCCGTAGTGTATGAGTGTGAATGACTGTGTATGAATGTTTTCCAGAGATGGGTTGCAGCTGGACAGGCATACGCTGCGTAAAACTTATGCTGGATAAGTTGGCGGTTCATTCCACTGTGGCGACCCCGGATTAATAAAGGGACTAAGGCGAAAAGAAAATGAATGAATGAAAATATAAATAAAAATCCAGATATTAATAAATACATTATAATGGTCAATAATGAATATCAAATGTGCAATAATACCTATATAAAGAGAACCTAAAATATTTTAATAATTTGCTTAGGAAAAAAAAACATGCAGCTCCTAGTTAAAGCAAATTTAAAACAGAACATTAAAAATGTATTGTTAATAATAAGAGTCCAACAAGTTATAAAACCCACATTTTAGGAAGCTGATCAAATTTACTCAAAAATAGCTGAGGCTTTCTATCTAGAGCAAACATGTACTGCCTCCACACAGTACACAATGCCAGAATATTTTTTTCACCAGGAAAAAAAAGTTGACTCATGAAAGTCTTCTATGCAATAGCATGAAGAGCTTTTGCATGATTTCTTGACAGAACAACGGTTGTGTAGATGACACACAAAGTACACACAACGTTGAGTAAAACTAAAATAAAATAAAAATATGTATATGTTATTTTTATATACTCATTTATGAATTCAAACCACAATAAAACCAGTTGTTACTGTTTACTAAAACTAAAGGTATTGCAATTATTTGTTAATAAAAAAAAGTTTAACAAAAATATGATACTATAATACAATAATATTTATATAAAAACATTAAACATCAAGTAAAATTAAAATAAAACTTGAAAATATTTATACATTATTTCTATAATCATTCATTAATTTTCCTTTTGGCTTAGGCCCTTTAATCTAGGGTCGCCACAGCGGTATGAACCACCAACTTATCCAGCACATGTTTTACACAGCGGATGAGCTTCCAGCTGCAACCCAACACTGGGAAACACCATAGACTCTTGCACACACTCCCCACGCCAACATGAGGAGAACGTGCAAACTCCACATAGAAATGCAAACTGACCCAGCCAGGGCTCGAACCAGCGACCCTCTTACTGTAAGAGATTGTGCTAGCCACTGCGCCACGTGCTACCCATTAATTGTATATACTCATTTATAAATTAAAACCACACCCAAACCAGTTGTTACTGTTAACTAAAACTAAAAGTGTTAAAAAAATTTTGCCAATTGAAAAAAAAACCAAAACAGAAATATACTATATATATATATATATATATATATATATATATATATATATATATATATATATATATATATATATTTATTTATATATATATATATATATGAAAATATATTAAGTTTATATACTCATTCATAAATTAAAACTTAAAGTTAGTTTAAATTTAAATTTAAACTTAAAATTAAAAATAAAGTTAGTTTACTAAAACAAAAAAATATTACAATTATTTTTGTCAATTAAAAAACTAAACAAGAGAAAAAAAAGTATATATATATATATATATATATATATTCATTCATTCATTCATTTTCTTGTCGGCTTAGCTTCTTTATTAATCCAGGGTCAGAATGAATTTCAGCAGAATGAACCGCCAACTTATCCAGCATATATATATATATATATATATATATATATATATATATACATGCTGGATAAGTTGGCGGTTCATTCTGCTGAAATTCATTCTGACCCTGGATTAATAAAGAGGCTAAGCCGACAAGAAAATATATGTATACACACACACACACCCTTAAACGTCAATTAAAATTAAAATGAAACTTAAATATTGGAAAAGATAATGCATTTTAATAGTACACGATCAATAGTGTTGTATAAATAGAACCAAAAACAATGCTACGTCAAGGTGGAAAAACTCTTAAAGCTACATTGTAAAACATAATAAATTAAGTAACGTTATAGGCTATAAAAAAAACTCGAATTTTAACCATATTTTTGGTATGTGATGAAAATAATGAAAAGCAATAGCCGAGGCTCTCCAGAGAAAGAAATTTGCTGCCTCCACACGGTGCTCCGTTCCAGAAAAAGACATTAAGTTGATCAGAGTCATCCTTTCATAATTCGCTTTTTAATTACAGCATTCCATTTTATTATCGCCCAGTATACACCATGCACTTTTAAAATAAAGAATGAGGTGTTGTTGAGCTGATGCAACGCGATGCAAGCCGGTTTAGGGGCCTCCTTACAACCACGCAAATTTCTAATATCTAAAATCAATCACGGAAATTAAAGTCGACTGCACAACAACCGGATGAGGGAAGCGTCAGCGCTGCGTTTCTTGCGCGAAACTGACGCTCATCCGCCCCCTGCACTATGATTGGACAAAACTCACGTGATTCAGTATGGAGGCGTCGGCGCTCGGACGCGTCACTCGTTGATAACGCAAAACTACCGCTTGACTTGATAGGAACACCATACCGAGGGTAAAAAAACAAAACAACGGAAAACAAGGCAACAGGCACCGGTCTCACTTTGCACATTTCTGACATTGCCATGAAATGAGGGCACCATGGGCGCCAAAGAGTCACGGATAGGCTTCCTTTCGTATGACGAGGCCGTTAAAAGAGGTAAGAGGTTTGAGCTTCAGCGATTAACGGCGGTCAGTCAGTTACGCGGCTGCGCTAAGCTAGCGTTAGCAGCGCTAGCCAGCTAGTTAAGCCCACATATTAACTCTTTCTGCGAGCTAACAAGCCTCGACCTGTCATTTCACAGAACTGTTATGCGAAGTAGCGGGTGGTAAATGTCTTGAGGGATGAAGGTGGGGCTGTTTGGGCTTGTCTTTGTTTTATTGGTGTAATGTTGTTGTCAGTGGTTGTGTCCCAAAACCCAGTGAGTTGTGTGCTTAGATTTTTCCGCATACTATTCGCATTCCTAAACTATCGAGATCCCCCAAAATCAGGCAATGTGAGGTTTTGACACGCAGTCAGTGTCTATCTAACAGCCGACTAGAAGTGTAACTAATCTGGGTGGTGCTGGAGCGTCTACACTGACAAAACAGATTTCCCTAATCTGTCAACATTTCTCAACACCACCGTGGTGTTTATCATGTACCCTGTCGCACTTTATCAGCTCTCTCTTCCTAAGCAGACAGTAGAAGTGCTTTCTCTGACACACTCAAATCAGATTTTTGCACTTACTACTGACCGGAGGATTTCCATCGCTTTACCTTCCGTTATTCTTGTGGTGGTGTTATTTAGGGGTGATTTTCACTTTCATAGGGAAGTGGGGTTTCTTCAAGGCTTGTTAAGCAACCGAAGCACCATTTAAGTCTTGGCTTATTTGATGCTGTTTTTGAAAGTCCGGTTGACAAGTCATTGACAGCTTAGCTGTGATCAGCTCAGATCGATCAGCTGTGAAATGTGTCCTCATTTAGGATGTAAACAAATATTTAAAGGGAAGTTCCTCCCTGTAATAAAGTCCTGCCACATTTACCTATTGTCATACTGATTTTAAACCTTTATGGCTTTTTGTTGGCTACATTAATAATACATTTATCATTTAAGCCTTGATTTAAGTGATGATGTTTTATAAAGTCATATTGACAAGTCATTAACAATTCCTATCAACTATGAAATGGGTCCTCAATTAGGATATAAACAAATATTTAAAGGGAAGTTACTCTCAGTAATAAAGTCTTGCCACATTTACCCATTCTCATATTGTTTTTAAACCCGTATGGCTTTTTTATTGGCTACATAAATAAGATTTTTCAAGACAATATTTAAGTTTTTTATAAGTTGTTATAATTATTATATATATATTTTTTGGTCATTTATTGTCTGAGTGGGTCACACTGAAATCACCCGAGGTTGAACAAATAATGCTAGAATTGTATTTTTGTTTCATTTGTCCAGTGACAACTGGTGATGATAAGGCATATATTTTGATGATGTGTATTGGAAAACTGTTTAATTAAAAATGTATCCTTAAAAGTGATCACACGTGAACACAAATTAATAGAGGAAGTAAATATAACTATTCAAATGATATGCACTACCTCTGCAATTCATTGGCCTTATATTGATAGATTATGTATTAGGCTCTATATGCAAAGCTAGAGTTTTAAAGCCAACGATAAACTTCTGGTGAAGGTTTAATGTGACTATTTTAAATTTCATAAGGTGTTTTTGCAGCATTTACGTTGTAATGTAATTACAATACATTCAGTTAAAGAGACTTAAGCATTCACTTAGTTGTTCACTTAGTTGTAAATTGTATTGGAAAAACTGAGGTAAAATATAATATTTAAAAGACATGGCGAGCGGAAATGGAGTTTAACGCAGTGCTTTTTATCCAATCTGAGACCCACTTCATAATGTATATCTAAATGACAGTGATATCACTGATATAATATCACTGATTTTTAAAGAAATCAGATCTTAAACATGACAAATTTGTAATGGAAAGACAGTTCACTGGAAGCCCTTGTGGTGCCTGGCTGAAAATTAAAAGTCAGTGTGCGTATAGCCCATTAAAGTAAAGATAGTTTGATTAAGTGTATTTGAGCCTACAGAACTCATCCACCTATTATAAATATGTATTTTCAGTGATCGAATCACAAGTGGACAGCCGAAATGCATCACTATTTCTACTTAGTTATTAGGTTGCATTCACATGCATGTCTTGTGACCACTTGTGTTCAGATCGTGGAGACCCTTCCTTCCTTATTTCATCAGGCTCAACATCAGTTTGACAAGAGAGCTGAGTGTGATGCATGACAACTATTGAATCCCATGTAACACAGCTTATGAGTGAGTGTGAAAGCCAGCAGAATGTGGATGACACCTGCATCTTTGATTGTAATCCATTTGTTTTGATATAACGCAGTGAACTCTGAGTACCTTGTTTTGATGCACTTTCTCTGAACAAGTCCCAAACTGATCACATGTTCGGTCAGTAGGCAGAGAGTAGGTGGTCTTTTGTCACTGTTTGAATACATTTGACCACATGAGCATTACCCTATGAAAACAGTTTGATCAAATTTTGATTGTGATCGTCACACAATGGGGTCGGTGCACAAACCAAAAATATATCATAGATCCTGTTGTTTACACCGATGATTAGAACTGTTTGCTTTTTGATGGGACACAACCCAATCTTAATAACAGGTGTAAATCTGACCTTAGACTGACAGTGACAAATACATGTACTGTAAATTAGTCTCTGTTGTGGCATAAACAAGGTCCTGAATTTGTATTCTTGATTTTAAGGCTCTGCATCTGCTTTTTGTTTGTTTGGGTGAGGATATAAGTTAGTGTTTACATTGAATAAATGTCAGCATACTCTTGAATTCTTCTGCCAGTAGTATTCAGACCTCGTCATAACTGCTCTAGTGACCTGACCACAGATTCGGGTTTCCATACATTGATAATATCCAGGTTAGGTGTCTGACACTGAAATCTGTGTGGCAGTCATGCTGGCAGTCAGACTGGGATCTCTTGATGCTGGTGTGTTTATGTGCGTCTAGTGGTTAGAGCTGATACTGGCACCTGAGATCAAGTGCGTCAGCACTGCTTATCTTTCCCCACCTTGATGAATAAGCAGAATTTAGCTGAGCATTATTTGCATCTTTGTTTCTCTTACCAGGAAACCACAGACCAGGATTTACATTCTGGCCAAATCTATAGCAACTACAGCGGAATTCAGTCGCTTTTTGCCTCTTCGTCTTGTTGACATAATTGCTGACATAATGTTTCACAAGCTAAACATGGTCTCCTGTGAGTCACCCAAGAGTGTTGAATTAAAAAAAAAATAGTGTGTTTTATTCCACAGTATTGTTTGTTCTTGCATGTTGGTGGGGAGAGGGAGTTAGCTGGCCCTGAGCCCGTTAGCAGAGGTAGAATTACCCTAATTGTTCCAGCTGCACCCACACGGTGGTGGCACATTTATTACAGCTTTTTGTGCCATGCTGCCCTACAACCAATGTTGCTGACATCACTTCATTACAATAAGGTAGTGTTGAGGGGGAATGGCGTTCACATCAGCATTTTATTCTTAGTGACATTAATGGCTTGTTCTTGATTGTGTATTGGCTTTTCTTAAATTCTAAATTATGTATGATTGATTATATTGAAATAAAATTAATAGTAGTACTTTTTTTAAATGCACATTTGACACAACTTGAGTTGATAGTAATAATGTTTTGAGCTTGAGATAGGAGATGCTGATGCAAATTGTTCTTTGATGGAACAGATTATTCTTTAATAACAACCTTTCCATATTGTTTTTAATATTTGCAATTAATGATAACCACAGGTATAGGACATACACTTAAAAGTAGCTTAACTTGGTGGTTTTTACAGTGATTATTAGCCTAAACAGTTTACAACAGTAAAACTGCTTAGTAAACAGGTAGGAAAACATTTATTTATTTTTTGCATTTTTGCCTTTATTATGATAGGACTGTTTGTGGATTGGAAGTGAATCTGTAGAGAGAAAAGGCTCAGTCAGTGAGCCAGGACTCTAACCAGGGACACTAGAAGTGCAATATTTGTACATGTCACAGTGGCACCAGTGAAACAAAACATCATTATGTCAAAATCTGGAGCACTTAGAGTGCATACTTCTGCCGAGTTCAGACTGCATGATTTTAGCCATGATTTTTACTCGCTGGTTTTGAGAAATTGTTGACAAATGGCTGAAATTACAGGCAAATCAGTGCTCGTTTACTCGAGCGACAATCACACAGAGCAAATTATCAAAGACGCGATCTGACAGAACGCTGATCGCTGACACCCTTGAGCTATTTGGCATGTTAAATATCTGGAGCTGTTGGCTCTTCAAAATCATGCTGTGTGAAATGTGTTGATTTTAAATAACATCGGCGATTAGTTACAGCCAATGAGAGAGCAGCATGCAGGTCAGTAATAAGTTGGGGGAGGAGTTCCGAAAGTATAACCACAATATTACCATTCCTGGATTCGATGGAAGAAAAAGGCTTCTTTTTGGTCTATTTTGACCCAAGAAATGGTGGTAAATCTAGTGTAAATTTGGCAGGGGCACCTATTTCTGTTTGACGAGCAATACCACAACCGGGTTGAAAAAGAAATTTTGTAGAGAAATTGCTAATACCCTTTAAAAACCAGGTCAGCAAAAGAAGTATATTTTGCTATCCCATTAGAAAATACCCCACTTTCTACCCCACAACCTCTTTTTCATTATGTAGTAAATAACAAAAGATATACTACGTAATTTCTCGCATGTGTTTGGTTGTGGGACGTAGTTTGCAGAACGAGACAAAGTTGTGATTTAAAGTTGCCAGCAATTCATCTAATTGTAATGTCATGCAGTGTGAAACCCTGTGTCGCTGATTCATCTTGCAGAGTAAACACTGCAGTGATGGAATGCTGCTCCAGATAGTCATGCAGTGTGAAACATCTGTGACGCCACTTCTTTGAAAATCGTGCAGTCTGAACTCTGCATTAGGGTGTATACAAATACTCCTTTATTCAAAATAGACCAACTAATAGGTTTTCGAAATGACTTGACTAATCAATTTTAAGAAGCTAGATATAATCAAACTGGTTTTGGGATCACTTGACCTCCAATTTAGGGCATGTTTATGTTC